CAAATATCATTTATTCTTCCTATTAGTAAAATAGTTGAAACAAAATATTATGTAATAAAAAAAGTCGTACTTAATCCAAATTATTATTAAAATTTTTTTCAATATATAGATAATTTTATTTAAATAATTTTCATCTCTTTATAATAATGGTACGAATATTTAAAAAAAAAAAAAAATATCATAGAATAAAGAATTAATATCAATAGAAGAAATTAAATATTTAAAATTATTTATGTAAAAAAAAAATTTGTATAATATATAAAATTAGTAAAAAATTATGTAAAAATCTGTGCAATATAATAAATATATATAGATGATATAAAATGATGAATGTTAAAAAATGTGTTTTTAATAAAAAAAAAAGATTATCACTAAAGCACATTGTAAAAATAGTTTTAAAAATATTTATAATTTTTTACCAAATTGGTTATTGTCCTTTTTATATATACAAAAGTGTTTTTTAATTTTAAATAAATTTATGTTATAAGAGAAAAATGTTTGGATGAATTAGAAATATAACAATTAATAATTTTATATGCACAAAGCTAATGCTTTATTTAAGAATTTTGATCAATATAATGTTTCTTGTATACATATCATTAAGAAACTGTGCTTTTTTTCGAAAAAAATATGTGAAGTATTTTTTTTTGCATAGTTGAATTCTTCACATTTTTATTGAAGTTCATTTATTATATTAGTGTATTATAAATAACAAGAATACAAGAATCTAATATTTTAATTAAAAATATTCAGTTATTATAATGCAGAGATATTTTTTGGTGATGTTCACGTATGTTGGAATATGGATATTTGTGTTAAAATATAATACTAAAAATTTATGGCTTAACTATGAATCAAAGTTGCAAACATATAATTTAATTAATAAACTCTTAACATATTTATTTTAAGAATATAAATTTTTTTCATGTATAAATTAAAAATATTTAATACATGCTTTATAATATTTCATATATTTTATATATTTTAAAAATTTATATTAATGTGATTCATAATTATTTTATAAAAATATTTTTATAAAAAAAATAAATTGTTATTTTTGTTTTGTATTTTTTTATTAAAAATTACATATATATATAATTTTTGACCTGGATAAGACATATTTTGATTTATTAAATGGATGTTCGGTGACTTTGCTAGAGTACTAAACAAACCAATTAATAAAGAACATGTAGAGATGACTCGACGATTTTCTTATACTTATGTATATTTTATATGCTTTGAACGAATGATCTTTAATCATAAACTACTTCGTTCAGCATTCTTTTGCTTCAATAAGTATTTATTTACTTTAATAAATAAATCCTTATTTTATTAAAAATTTAAATACTTATTTAACATTAACTATTAATTGATTATAATTATTAGTTTATTTATTATGAGTTATATTCAGCAATCATTTTATATTGCTATTGAATTAACAAAACACAAATACTTATTCAAAATGCAAATAAATTATATGAATATTAATTACGTGAAAATTTTATTGTCATATGTATAAAATTTTCTTTCATAAATTCAAAATATAAATATTATGCAAATTAAACTCTTTACAAAAACATTATTATCTTTTGTAAAAAAGATCTCTCTCTTAATTTAAAATCTCTTTCCTTCAAAAAAAAAATTAATAAATCTTTTTTTTTAATTTTTTTATTTTTATCTTTATCTTTTTTAAAAGAAACATATCTAAAAAAAAAATTTCAATAATCTTTTTTTTTTTTAGTTAGCACAACTAACTACGTATTCTCCACATAGCTAGTCCTTTTATAGCCAAAAACGTTAATGAAGACTTTTATTAACTAGTACTCTAACAAAGTCACCGAACACTCAATAAAACAACTATATATAAAATGGTTAACTGGTTTATAGGATTAAAACTAAATTTAAATTCATTAATTTAGTAAAAGAAACTCTATATGCTATTTATTAATATGTTTGTTTAATACATTAGCAAAGCCATTAAGTAGAAAATTAATAAATCAGATAGTAAATGAGATATTAAAATAAATAATGACGTACGAAAAGGGCCTTATATTATAATGCAAGTTAAAGGAAATAAAATAAAATAATATCATCTTTTTTTCCATGGTTGTGGAATATGGTCTATAAATAGTCTTATCCACATGTTTTTAAATAATATTTAATTAAATAAAATGAACAAAAATGTTTTCATTCATACATGCTAAAATGCATGAAAAATATGTATACATGTACACTTAAAAAAACTAAGTACACAAAAAGTATGTGTACTAAAAAAAAATGTAAACATATTATTTATAATATTTTTCTTACTCTAACTTAAAAAAAAAATATGTTACTAATTCTTATTTTTAATTTTTTTTTAAAAACAAAATTATATCTTGAAAAAAAAAAGTTTTTTTTTTAAAGATGCTTATGTAGAGTATTTTTTTTATTAAAAATTAAAAATTTAATGTAAAATATATATACATAGAATAATGTATAAATTAACAATAATTGTAATTAACTAATACAGTTAATATTCGATATTAATTAATGAAATTTAATAATGTGCTTATTATTTTAATTTAATAAAAATAAAATAATTATAGTATTCTCTACACAATCCTTATTAATTTATTTTTCCATTACTATCAAAATCACTTAACAAATAATGAATAAAACAATTATTTTTTCTATAAGAGTTAAAGATTTGTTAATAAAAGGAATTATTAGCCTTCTTGAGAAATAAATTAATATCTGTATGGAAAATAAATAGACATGAAATTACTAGATAAATGAAAGAA